GCAGAATACAAAAATCAAGTAACTGTATTCAGCTTGCATTATATTTGAAAAACGAGTAATCTGATTACAGTTACTTTCGTAAACCTGAAGTGAATACATTTTGGAATACTTATTGGAATTATTGGTGGAAAAGTTTCCTCATAAAATGTAATATTCATTACCAGCAGAACTGTGTGCACACTGCACAGCGCTGCAGCATGTCTGTGAGGCCCCGCCCCCGCACGCAGATCAGAGAGAGAGATCTCTTTTAAAATATATTGAAAGTTAGAAACGGAGATGGTTCGATAAAATGTGCAAGATAACGTTTATGTAGCATTTCTTTATTGTCGAAATGATGACATTTCATAACGGGATCAAATCAAAGTGAATGGCCTGCTGCTGCTGAATGCATGGGGCAAGTGACTGGAAACAGTTTTAAAAGTTATTACGTCATTTCAGATAATAAATAATAATGGTAATTCATTCTGTTTTTTATGTGGGGTGCAGATGAGAGGGAGCTGTCCAGAATGACCCAAATATGTTGTGTTTGAGTTGTGCTCTTGATAAGCCATTAAAACAGTAAAATAAGTGTCTCCTGTTCACCAAAACATACCCATCTGTTATGGAAAAATAAAGTATTCCAAAAGTATTCTAAAAGTAATCTGAATACGTTACTTTTTTAAGACACGTAACTCTAACTGTATTCGGATTACTTTCAGAGCCATGTATTCAGTAACCGATTAAAAGTGCCAAAACGCCACTATGAGACAAAACACAAAGTGTTTGACCAAACATTCCCTCTCAAGTCAGAACTGAGGTCACAAAAAATAAGCAGTCTCAGAGCCCAATATGATCAGTCCACCAGGATCAAAATTAAAACTAAATATCGTGGGCAGGCTAACCGAGGCTAACCAATGAGCACCTGCATGTGTGTATGAGAATGGCCCTGACACCATTTCAGCCCAGATTTAAACTCCTGGCAGGACAAGCTCAAGCTCAATTCTCGCACTGAATACAAAAAAGTGAGTGAGGGACTGCAATATAAGAGGGAAAGAAAGAGAAACTTTAAAACTGTTCAATTGTTATGATGTGTAAAGACTGATATGTTCTATAATCGTCTGAAACTGTTAAGTCATGATGTGAAACGGTTAACAAAGCTATTTTATTTATTTCTCTATTTTATTTTTAAATGCAGCCCGAGAGGAACATTACACATATCCACAGTATTTACTGTATATCTGTATAGTTCAATGTTAATTGACAATAAATATTGTTGTTTTTGAATTGTACTTTCTTTATTTGTTTGGCAGTCAGTTGTTGATTACAGACGTTGATAAAGCTACAGGCTACTTCAATATATATCACACTAATTCATAAAGCAACTTAGACATTTTGATGTTCCGGACCTTTGGATGGGGACATTTTCTCTAACTGGACCTCGTTGAATTTTAGTTGAATACCCCTGCTGTAGGGAGTAAAACCCTAACACAGAAAATACCTCCCCAAAACGCCTTGTTGGAGATTTCTCATTTACTTCCTGGGTATCGCTACGTAGGGACCTTTCAGCGATTCATGCCGGATATGTACAGCGTAGGGCACTGAAGAACGATGCTGTTCCTACTTTGTTTGGACCAGCGGGAGATTCGGATACACAACCTGTAAGTATTCATTGTTGTTTGTGTATTTATGATGTTTAAAACAAACAAGGTATCTACCACGACTGTTAAATGGGTAAACGTTTTTTGGGCTGCTAAGTTGGGATCGCGGAGAAATGCTCTCTGCAGACCCATGCTCACAGCGTTATAAACCTTTTTCTTACTCAATATCAAGCCACACTTATTGTTTTTACTTCGGCTGTGAGTGTTTGTGTGTGCTCAGGATGAGTTTCGCTTGTTCTCGCTGTATCTGTATTGCCAACACGGAAGCCCTGTCTGCTCCTCACAGCAACGAGCAGCTGCGAGCAGCTGCACGTCGCATGACCAATCAGAGCACACTGGGCTCACAGGGAGGGGGGCAGGTGCTCGAACAAGCCGTTTAGGACAGAGAGTGAATACCGGTGAATACACATACTTTACAGAGATGCTGTATGAGAAACCAATGTGAGTTTGGAAAATTGCACAGTATAAATCTATTTTAGTATACCTCAACAATGGAATTATGATCAGTAGAACTGGCCATGACATGGGACCTTTAAGTAGTTACTACTTTGTAAGGAATTGGGTTTCTTTATAGGCAGTTTGTGATTTTTAGGGCTGGTTCAGTGAGACTATGCAGTTTTGATCATTTCAAGTTTTCAAGTTTCAAGTTTCAAAGCTTTTATTGTCATCTGCACATTAGCTACAGTGTAGATATGGCAATGAAAAACACAAGTCACAGGCTCCTCCAACAGTGCAACATATATATATATATATATATATATATATATATATTTGTTTAATTTGTTCTATGTCCTCTATATATATATATATAGAGGACATAGAACAAATTAAACAGATTTAGCTTTTTTCTCTCACCAATGTACTGTAAGATACACTTTTATGTATGCAAAAAGTTAAAACTAGAAAAATTATAAATATCTTAACAACTGGTAGAATATGAAGTACTTTGTAAGGAATTGGGTTTCTTTTAATGGCCGTTTTTTATTTTAACACTTGTTCAGTTAAACAATGTAGGTTTTCTTTCTGATAACCTTACATATTTTAGTTATTTTCTGCTATCAAGATACTTTTTTGATACACTTTTATGTAGGAACATTTTACAACTGGTATATTGTCAATTACTTTGTAACAAATGTATTTTCTTAAAGACTGTGACTCCAAAAGGCAAGTTTGTAATTTTAACACTTTGTTTTACTGACACTAGACAGATTTAGCTTTTTTTCTCTCGTTGTCTTTCTCTTACTTTCGGATACAGTTTTATGTATGACACCTTTACAACTGGTAGAAAGTTAAGTACTTTTTCTGAACAGATTTTCTTTAAGAATGTGACTTTGAAAGGGAAGTTTTGGTGATTTTAACACTGTTTCGGTGAAACAACGCAGTTTTCTGGAAATAACTTAAATTAAAGAATCAAACTCTAAATGAAAAGTTTGTGATTTTAACATTGTTTCGGTGAAACAATGCAATTTTGATCACTTTAAAACTAATTAATTTGCTCTGAAAGGCAGAGACTGATCACACTGTGTTATTTGCAAATTGCAGGGGAAAAGCACATTGCACAAATGTTGCACAACCACCTCTTTTTTGTATGTAACCTCTGCATTTCTATTCCAGTAACTGTAAAGCTGTCAGCGGTCTCCAAGTCTGACTTCTGATTTACAGTTTGAGTGAGTGTGTGCCGTCTCCACATCTTGAGGCTGAGATACTTCAGAAATGTTTTTGTCTAGAACAGTATTCAGCTCTCTACGACAGACTTATAATCCCCTTCGTTGACACCATCATGTAATTTAACAGCATTCTTTAAATAAATTATAATTATGTCATACAGTTGAATTGTTTAGGTCCCTGGTTCCCAACAAGGACCAGAGCCCCACTGAGGGCCCCGAAAGCAACTTTGCAACTAAAAGATTTCATTAATTGCTCTGAAGAAACAAATGTAATTGTTTTTAATTTTTTTATTAAGAAGATGAAAACATTTTTTTTTATATTTTATTATTAAAGGTAGGATAGGTAATTCACTTCAGAAACACTTTTTGTTATATTCCATGGAATGCTCTTAACATCCCGATAGCAATGAATAAATTAAATACTTTGACAATAAATATATACAAATATTTCATCTGTGGAAGCCGTAGTACTGTAAAAAGCTAGACCAATCATCTGAGCCGGCCCGGCTAAAATAACTGGATGGCCTACCTGCCTGTCAGCCTTCCATCTCGTGCACAAACTTATCGCGTGCCCTCATTGGTCATGTGCACGTTTGTGTGTGTTGGATGAGGGGCTCTATAAGGAAGTCTGAAGGAAGGGGCAGATTGTTTTCGGTTGTGTACTTTCAAATTCTAGCGCACTCGAGCTGGTTTCTCCATTCTTACCTACCCTACCTTCAAGGCATAGTGAAGAACTAAACACATATTAACATAGCTTGCGCTCTTTGCGAAACACAACAGAACATTGGCCAAGCATCAAGGAGAGGGAAATATTACATTTGTCAAATGTAGTGCATTAAGTAATTTCTTTTATATAAATAGGCCGAATACAGACCAAGATATAGATTTAAAGGGGCCCTATTATGCTTTTGGTTTTTCCTGGACTATGTTCTATAGGTTTTTGTGCATGCTAATGGTCTGCAAAGGCTAAAACCCCTGTGTTCCCACCAGAGGGAGTTTCTCTCCCACTCCCCCCCTGCCTGAAACGCTTCCATTGGACAGAAAAAAAAAGAGGCAAAAATATGAACCTGAAAATGAGCATAATATGTCTTCTTCAACATACACATTTTTTTTAATGCGAACTCATCTGACGCAATATTGAGAGAAAATAATCTGCTCCATTCATCTAAACCTTTTGTTCTGACATAAACTTCCTGCAGATATTGTGTTCAATATTCGAGTTAATTGTACCGTCTATCAGTTGTTCTGTGGTGTAATGTTATGCATAAAATATAATGTTAAATATCCATAAAATATGTCACTTAATAGAAAAAGGTTAGGAAGTATTAAGGTCATTTGTACTACCACTTGTGAGATAACTGCATTTTCATTGTTTGGCAAAACACCCTCAGCTGTTTATTGAGCTAGTATGCAGTGAAACTTGATCTGCATGAAAGGTGTCAGGTGACATGTTTTCATATTACTGTGCTATACTTGTGTAACCCATCTGTCCTTCTCAGGAATTCTAAAGAGTCAAGAGCCAATTGAGCATTATCTGCTTCCTAGCTTGATAGCAGATTACATTCTGTTCCTTCGAACTGAATTTCAATCATGTTACATTTTAAAAACAGGCCATTTGATTATTTACAGACTTTCTATAGCAGTACATTACATTTAAAAGTATGTGCCTTTAATTAGAAAACATGCTGCAAAGTAATCACAGGAAATGATAAACCTTTATTGGGGATGTTCATCACAGCTGTCAGTATTCTCCTTGACTATCCATCGTTAGTTAATAAACTATACAGTAGATTGTGTAGGAATGGTAAAGGCTAAAACAGCTTGTTACTTTGACAAAGATTTGAATGACTTCAGAGTACATCTGTAGAAGCCACAACTTTTACTTTTATTTTGTGGAATGTAAAAATATTAACATTCATCATCTCCAGACAGACACGTTAACGAGCCGGTCACTGTAGTGAGAACAACGGAGCCTGACCATTGCTTCCCTTTCACTGACCCAACTCTGAAATGCAGATTTAATTAGCAAAAGGACAGAAAATGTGCTGGAAGATGAATCTACTTTAAGCCACTCTTGGAAACCGGCCACCAGTAAAAGTGAAGCTGACGATCGGTGTCTTGAACACGGTGAGTAAATTGTGAAACCAGCGGACAGAAATATTTCTCATCCAGTCCTGATGTAGACCCTTAATGAAAAGCAGTCCTTAAAATATGTTTCCATCAGGTCGTTACTTTCCAGCTCTCAGTCTCTCCCAAAAATACAGTATAACAAATCAGCAAGTGAAACGCTAAAAGAACATAACAAAAATCATCCACTCCCCATCAGTAGGTGGTGCTCGTCCCAAAACAGAAGCAATACAAAAAAACACCTCTGACAAATCATAATCCAATTGGACTCTACTTAAAACCAGCATTATTTTTTTTTTCAACCACTTTTGACCCTCTTCTCTCTCCGTCTCACTCGTACTCAGCGATCAGCACCATCATGCCCACTCCGAACAGCAGGGCCAGGATCTCCATCAGAGACTGGCCGAAACTGGTGCGGCCCGCTAGCAGTTCTGGGAGCACGGTCACCGTGGCGATGTAAACAAATCCGCCGGCAGTGAACGGCAGGATCCAGGCGGTCGCCGCAGCGCCCACGCCCTCAGCCAATAGGGAGCAAGATGTGCCGGCCAGAGCTCCCAGAGCCGTCAGCAGCTGTAGACACATGGCCTGATGGGAAAGAGGAAGAGGATGATTGAAGTCTTAAGAGTCTCCAAAACTACAACACAATTGCTTTTTTTTCTTCACAATCTCTTACACAAATTAAGTTTGATTAAAACATTTATTTTCAAATCAATATGCATAGAAACTGAAAACATTTAACCTGTAATTACACACCAATTATTCTTTAAAGGCCCTACAAATTTCAATTTGCTGCCGGCTCTTTATTCTAAGGGGGGATCACTGTGATATTTCACAAAGTCAAATGTATTATATAAATCTATATTTAGCAAAGTCCATTTATTTGATGACTGGGTCTACAGAAGACTGGGCCAATAGACTTCCTTCAGGATCCTGCCTATTGTCTGTGTTGGACAAGATGAAGCTGCAGCTTGAGTTATCAGCTACCTTTTTTTTGGTGCAGCCGGACTGAACAAGGATGGCAAAGTCTCCGATCTCATGTGGGACCTCGTGCAGCAGGATGGTGAGGGTGGTGACGGCTCCCACCGCAGGACTGACCAGGAACGACGCTCCGATGGCCAGGCCGTCAGTGAAGTTATGTGTGAAGTCAGCTGCAAGGTTCAGGTAACCCGACACCTTGATGTCTGTTAGTGGAGACAATAAAGAAGAAATGAGGATTAGAACACACTGTTTCCAGTCTCCAACTACAGACACGATGTCAGGGAGCATTTCTGTGGCCCTCTGTTAGATGGAGGACACGTTATTCACATACATGTGGCATCAATTATGTCAGCAGCACATACCAGTGCCAATAAGACTGACTGAAGTGATGCCAAAAGAAGATTAAGTTTCAATTTCTAGATTTTTTAACCCTACAGGCAAATTAAAAGCTTATGATACATAGATGACTGACGGTTTCATAAAAGCCAACGTGTGTTTGCAGCCCCAGAAAAAGTGACTTGGCCACACCTGAAACCACTCCCTCATCTATTAAACTGGAATAACCCCATCACAGCTGTTTACCTCCGCCTGCTGGTGAGGCCGCAGTTTGCATCCATGTCTGTACTACCCCAGGAAGTTGGCCAAAACCCAGTTTTGTGAGGTCACAGTGACCTTGACCTTTAACCACCAAAATCAAATCAGTTCTTGCTTGAGAACAAAGTGAAATACAAAAAATTCCCTCAAGGTGTTCCTGAGATACCACTTTCAGGACATTGGAGAAATAAAAACTGTCTTTGCATTAAATAACCCATCTCTTACCCTTAGGTACATTTCACATTTGTATTCCACACTAGAAAAAAGGAAGTTCCTATACATAGGACTAAACTTTTTAATTAAACAACAAAAGGAAACTATAATGCATATATAATCACTCCTCATTTCAGACATGGTAGTGTCTGACCAGCAGAAGGTGCTAGTGTTCTTGGTTCATAAGTCAATCTGGAAAAATCTACATTTTATTCACCTGTGCTCTTTGGCTCCTCTTTCTTTGACACCGCTTTGTCTTTGCTTTTTTTTCCCTCTTTCTTCTTTCCTTCCTTTTCATCTTCTCCATCGCTGTCCTTTTCCTTGGGAGCGTCTGGGAATGTTACAAGAGAGTACAAATTAGCCTCAGTGCCCAGATTGAATATTACAATACTAGGTAAAGAGGCTTTAGATTTCTAAAGGCATTTGGGCTAATTATCTGGACATACTGTACAAAAATAATGCAAATAGATAATAAAGTGTGGAAAAACTGCAATCTTTAGCATGATCAGACTCAGAAAACCTGAGTCCTGCATATGAATATTTGATATATAACAATGAGTGTGTTCCGTCAGGTTACATCGGCGTACCATGTGAGTGGCCGTGGGAATGACTGTGGCCTCCCTTCAGTGCCCGCACAAACTTCTCCACAACCAGGAAGGCTATGATCCCACCGAGAACCCACAGACCCACGGACATCGTGTGACCGTGGGCAGCCCCTGTGCAGGAAGAGGACAGGAAACACAGGTTAGAACTGTGACGCATGAACAGAGTCTGAAACGTACTGACGTCCCATGTTAATCCTGCTGACAGTACATGTCACCATCTATAAAGTCAAAATAGGGTATTTCTTTGGCTTCTGTACATTTATTTTTTACGTATTTCCACACCTGGGATCATCTGAGGACAGACACTCAGAGAATAGGCAGTAATTGCGTACCGTGGGAGTGGCCGTGGTCCTGTGACTCTTCACTTGCATGCGAGTGTCCGTGATCTTCTTCTCCATGGTGAGAGTGGGGCTCTGTGCACAACACACAAGAAGAGACATCAACATAAAAACAGACAAGCGGAGGATCCTGCTACAATGTCTGGGTTTTCAATGAGCATTTGGTCATTGCCGTCATTAGCTCACTGACAATATTGTTTCTTTATGTCCGTGTTTGCAGAACAGAAGAAGTGTTGTGGCTATCCATGGTTGGGATGCTGAAGTATCGATAGGGAGTAAAAGTGAGCTACGAGATCAGAGAGAAAAGTAAACATGAGCTGTGAGAAAAAAAGTCACCGGGTATTTAAAATCCCCTGCGTCCCTGTTAATCATTAGTTTGGTTCCTCACTCTCTTTAATTTGAACAAAACCTCCCTGCATTAGCCCTCTTATAACACCAGGCATGTTTTACATCACAAATGCACCTGAACACACCTCTTGACACAATTAAGCCAACAGGAGAATGTAATAAAAGTCAGTAACAATTGAGCCGACTTCTGGGGATCACTACCTACCCAAAGCGTGTGGTATGAGGTGGAGGAAGGCGTCACCCAGCAGTCCGCCTGAGGCGAAGCTGAGCAGCACCTTGAGCAGGTTCTGGTGCTGGTCGCTGTTGGACTGAACTGGAATTAGGAACAGGATGAGGAAAGGGGCCGCACTGATCAGTAGGGTTGCTCCGATAGCCTGCGGACAGGGATGAGAGATTTATTCTGCATTAGCGTCATCAAACTGTGAATTAACCACAATGCGACACGAGAAAACCGGAGTTAGAGGGGGAAAGGAGCAGAACGGTGATCTGTGTGAGGCTAATCTATGCTATAACAGCATGAGGAGCGTTCATTTGTAAGCACAAATGTGCTTTGTCATTGATCAATAACAATGACTCCACAAAAATACATTATTCTACAGTGAGGTGTTAAACTAAATAACATGCACAGTATGTAATACTGAGACAACATGAATGGCTTTTGAATGGCAATTTCATTAAATCACAGTGCCTTCAAAGCATATGAAAAAAGCTTTTTATTATAAGGGGAAATACGTTTATTGCAGGGAAAAAGATGAGAGTATTGATAAAATGAAATATGTTAAATATGAAGCTGAAGCCAGCCAGCCATCCATCCATCCATCCATCCATCCATCCATCTTCTCCCGCTTATCCGTGGTCGGGTCGCGGAGGTAGCAGTTCCAGCAGAGCCCCAAACTTTCCTTTCCCTGGCCACATCAACCAGCTCTGACTGGGGGATTCCAAGGCGCTCCCAGGCCAGCGAAGAGATATAATCCCTCCACCTGGTCCTAGGTCTACCCCTCGGTCTCTTCCCAGCTGGACGTGCCTGGAACACCTCCCTAGGGAGGCGCCCAGGTCGCATCCTTACTAGGTGCCCAAACCACCTCAACTGGCTCCTTTCGACGCGAAGGATGAGCGGTTCAACTCTGAGTCCCTCCCGGATGACAGAACTTCTCACCTTATCCCTAAGGGAGACGCCAGCCACCCTGCGGAGAAAACCCATCTCAGCCGCTTGTGACCCGGTGGAATACAGGGTAACCAGCGGCGGACTGGCCATCTGTGTGTTCTGGAGAATCACAGAACGGCCGGCCGTCAGCGGGCCGTTGACGGCCGGCTCGGTACGCTGACGACCGGCACCGCCCTTAATTTTTTTTAACCGCCATCATGTAAATTGTGCTGACAGGCGACAGAGGTCCACAGTTGCCCCGCAGCGAGGCTCCCGCCGCCCTCCTGTAGACAGTTCACGAGCTCAGTCACTTGATAACACCAAAGATGGATCGCGGTAAACGCTCTAAAGTGAGGCTCCACTACACTAAAAAAGAAAAAGACAAGGCACAGTGTAATGCCTGTTAATAGCTTGCCACAGGCATAGCTCAGTTAAAATAAAGCACAGCTATTGTGCAATACATTTGTATTGCATGTATATTTTTTATTTGTAAAAATGTCAGTTAAAGCTTAAAAGAATAAAGATATTTTTGTTATATAAACGTTTGACCTCTTTCTTTTACAATTTTGGAATCGAAACGGGGAATCGATAAGAACCGGAATCGATAAGCAGAACCGGAATCGGAATCGGAATCGATCAATTTCAAACGATACCCATCCCTAGTCATGACCCATCCTTCATGACCATAGGTGAGGGTAGGAACGAAAATGGCCCGGAAGACAGAGAGCTTTGCCCTCTGGCTCAGCTCTCTTTTCGTCACAACGGTGCGGTAAAGCTACTGCAGTACCGCTCCCGCTGCTCCGATTCTCCGGCCCATCTCACGCTCCATTGTTCCCTCACTCGAGAACAAGACCCCGAGATACTTGAACTCCTTCACTTGGGGTAAGGACTCATTCCCTACTTGGAGTGGACAGTCCATCGGTTTCCTGCTGAGAACCATGGCCTCAGATTTGGAGGTGCTGATCCTCCGCAACTGCCTCGGGAGTCCCCCGGGATAACAAATCCCTGAAGGCCTCCTTCTTCAGTCGGATGGCTTCCCTGACCACCGGTGTCCACCAGGAGATTCGAGGGTTACCGCCCCTTGAGGCACCTAAGACCTTGAGACCACAGCTCCCCGCCGCGGCTTCGGCAATAGAGGCTTTGAACACCGCCCACTCTGGTTCAATGTCCCCAGCCTCCACAGGGATGCCCGAAAAGCTCCGCCGGAGGTGTGAGTTGTGAAGCTGAAGCCAGGAGAAGCTTATTCATGTTCAGCATAAAATGTACTTCAAACAGAGGAAAAGTGAGCCTGGGTTTTGTGCGGGTTTATTTCTTGGCCAGAGTGACTTCCTGCAGCCTTAACAAGCAGATGTGGGAGTGGTATCAATCTCCCAATGTAATGCTCAGCAAGAAAACAAAGAGGAAGAATTCCAAAATTCTGTATTGTGTTCCAGAAAAAGGCTTTTATATTAAACTGGCTCCTCATGCCAATACTTTTCCAGGAAGGTTGGCAGATTCCTACTTAAATTGTGTATCTGGATAGGATGAAACCGATCTGACCTGAAAGCTGCTGCTTACTACGTCTCATACAATGCGACTCTGAGCAGCACCACCGCTACATAAAATACTTTGCATCTCTTTTCCAAGAGACTAATATAAAACAGATATTCCTTGTCACATTTCACACAGACAACCCATTGTTCCTAGCCTAACCTTGTGACCTCACCTGTGTCCAAAGCTCCAACGTATCCCTCTTCTCTGGTTCTGCCTCCCTCTTCACCCTCTCCCCTCCGTGTGAGTGCACGTGTCCATTTTCCTCCTTGTGCACCCGGACAATATCCTCCTGATGCCCGTGATCATGAGCGTGCCCGTGATCATGAGCGTGTCCGTGATCATGAGCGTGCCCGTGGTCGTGTCCGTGATCATGAGCGTGCCCGTGATCGTGTCCATGGTCATGAGAGTGAGCGTGCCCGTGGTGCTCCTCTTCCTCCAGAGGGATGTTAGCCTCGGCGCTCCACTTGCTCGCTCCATGGAACATCTTCACATCCTCAAGGTCATCGTGAGAGTGGCCGTGGTGGCCGTGTCCATGGTCGCCATGGGAATGGCTATGAGCGGTGGTTGAATGGGAGGCTAACAGGAGGACTGCAGATGCGGCCAGTGTCAGTGCCAGCAGACGTACACAGCCCATGGTATCCCCTATGACAAAGAGAAAAAAGTGAAGAAGAGAGAATTTAAAAATGTTTTAAAAACAATGGAATTCTGATGATTTTATGTAGTGGTCATGTTTACATCTACGATAAGGATACAACATGTGGACCTGTTAGCAGCTGAATGATGGTAATAAATGCAAGTGCCTAGATATGCACAACTTGTCAGCAGGTTAAGAAAGGGCCTAAAATCCCTCTTTTTCCCTGTGATAGCAAAGAACCAGGAACCAAACAGTTGCTAATGCTAGAACTGTTTAAATTGAAGTATTACAGCACTAAATGACTGCAACATTTGAATGTACTGATTTTTTTTGCAAGTGTGGCAACTGCGGCCACTGCTTGATTAGAAAGATACAGCTGCAGTGGATTTTCTTTACCTCACCTTGTGAAAGGAATTGCATCATCAGCCAATAAACCGTGTTCTCGAGGATAGATGTGTTCACTCACATAAAAAGGTGGCCGCCCCTTGTAGTCATGGAAGCATTTTCAGTCACACCATTTCACCCTTTACACAAGCGCATCATCAGTGAGATTGGGGTGTTATCCCTATCTATTGAAGAACTATTCTTACTTAATCGGATCAGTCAGTTTAACCAACATGGCAGGTATTCAAATGGGGATTGCATTTACTGCATGAATGCCAGTGGTGGAAGAAGTACTACAACATATCAATACCAGTGTTAAAAGATGTGAGTAATTGTACATGTTTAGTTGTTAAAGCCCTGCATTCAAAAACATCCTTAAGTAAAAAAACACTAGTAAACGTGTTAAAATAATATAAAGTTACTTTAAGTACCCAAAGTACTGATTATGCAGAATGGACCTTTACGGGGAAATTTGTATATCATTTTATTTCACTGGATTATAATAATTGCTGGATTCATAGTTAGACTCATTGCTAGTTTAATTGAATTCATGAAGCGCATAAGACATCATCATTTGGGTTTATAATTTATTTACATGTTGTGTTAATAAGTAAGTAACCACAGCTACCAACTACAGCTGTAGTGGAGCAGAAGTATAAAGTTGCATCAAATGGAAACAGTCAAGTAACTTGTATTTGATTAAATAGGCTGTGATTAATGATTACAGTTGTGCAAAATTAACATATTCATTGGGTGTATTGCGCTAATGCAAAACGGTTAATGCAATACAGTTGTAATTACAATAGCAGTCATGTAACGACACCTTAGCGGATTTAACAAACATCTGTTTCAGCTTGATTTAGAGTTTGCATTGTTTTTGATCGTGTTTATTTGCTGGCAGCTTCCTCGTAGGATGTTGGTGTAAAGCGGATAATCCGTAAGTGTTAAATACATGTAATCTAACTGCAAACAGTGAAAGCCCCAGTCATCAAACAATGACCACGCATCACACAAGTTATAGAGAAAGCCTGCTAGCTTTACTGGCTAGCTAGCTAACAACTTGCTAACATGTTGCTGCAGCAGAATTATTGACTGCGACATACAATAGAAAACAAGCAATTACTTCTCACCGGATTGTGTCAGATATCACTGCCTGCTGGGCCGCTGGATAACTCTCTGTCCTGCGAGCAATACGTTTGATAAAACGCGTACTTGTGTCTGCGTGGATGCTATTGTTAAGACGTGGCATTTACTCAAGTAAACTCAACGAAATCTCGCGAGGTTCATTCCACTCCTAAATGTGCCTCCTTCTGTGCTCCCTCGTTATCTCTATTTAGATAAAAAGATTGATTTTATTTTCCCTCAGCGATCATAATAGGATAAAAACGTATTTAGGAATAATTGTTTAAACTTTTTCACTCCTATATAGGCTACTGGGTAAAATTGCATTTATTAAAATACAATAGGTCTGTAATGACATATCGCGAGATTAATGTTGTATCTGAGACTCACCTATTTTGGCTGCGCGAGACGGCAGGAGCATCCTGGAGGAGAAGAGGATGTTGCTCCGCTTGTCTGCGACTGACATAATATAAATAATAGACCTTTATGTATTTAAGGGGCGAGGTAAGATGAGATAAAATTGACCTTTAACAATCCCCGTAGGCAAATTCATGTGTTTAGGCAGTAACATAATAAGAATAAACACAGATATTACACATGGAATATACACAGGAATGAAACTAATGAAAAAAAGAATGAGAATAAACAAGTATTAACAGTATTATTAGTAATTAATAATGACCTGCAATAATGTATCCTGGAAAACCTTCCCAGGATACATTATTGCAGGTCCAGCTACAGAGCAGTATATCACGTTGAAATGAGCCACACCTTTAAAAAATGTTTTACATTGGAATGGTATTAGCCTAAAACTAAACTGAAAACGTTAGAAATAAAACATTATAATTCAGCAGTATGATATGGGAAGTATGATTTAAATTGGTCACTTCTGCATATCAAACTTTTCATGTTGGTACTTATAGTTAATGTTAATGCAAATGAGTTTGTATTTCTACACTGTGGTATAGTTACTTTTACTAAAATACAATATCTAGGTACTTCTTCCACCATAATATATTTGATAGATTTGTAGAAACATCAGACAAAATATATATAGTTCATATGTTTTTTTTTCTTCTCAAAGCTGCATCTTTTTCAGGAATTAAAAGTTGATTTTGTTTGATTTTGTTTGTTTGCAACAATAGTCAATGACAGCAACATGCCATTCTTATACAGTGGTGACATGTAACTAAATACTTTTACTCAAGTAGTCTACAAGTTCAAAGTACTTTAGTATATTGGCACTTTATGCTATAGTTTAGCTCTTGAGTTTTAGGATTTAAAAGAAGTTTTAGGATTTAAAAGAAGTTTTAGGATTTAAAAGAAGATGAATACATTATTGTGGTTGCTTTTCTGTCACACTGCATCCGCAGGTAAGATCACAGTGGGACTCAGTTATTTCCTGTTATTCTTGTTTGCCACTATCCATGCAGGGTAGCATATACTTTCACTTATTTATTTTTTCTTCAGTAACACCATTATGTGTCCAAATGATACTGATGTAGGGCCTATATGAATTATATATATATATATATATGAATATGAATATGAAAATATATATATTTTCTATATATATATATATATATTTATATTTTAAATGTCTCCACGAGTAAAAAAAAAAAAAGAAGATCAATAGCAACTTTGGCTGTTGCTAACAGACATGATGTGAACCTGGACAAGACACAAATGTCTGAAGAAGAAGAAAGAAAAGGACTTTCTAAAGAATTATGTGCACAATAAGAGAAGCTTTCTGAATACGGTTGTACGTGGACTCCATATTAGTAGGCCTTTTATGTTTGTCTGAGTACAGCTTCATCTGTTTCTGTTTGCCTGCAAATATGTTTGCTAGGCTTTTTAACACATCAGCTGCAGGTGCAAAGTTTAACTCTATATTGTAACCATAGTTTCCCAAAGTGCAAAGTTTAACTCTATATTGTAACCATAGTTTCCCAAAGTGCAGTCAACAGGCCAAAGGTGGCTTTTCAGACTTATGTTGTGCATCCTTAAACTTGACATGAAATGCATGCATTATGTTCTAATAATCTGCGGTCAATTTAAATAGCTTACATTTAATACACTTCTCGGTTACTGCGTTAAACTGGGATCCGCTAACAACAGTCTGTCAGTTAAAGGGGCCCTATTATGCTTTTGGGGGTTTTCCCTTTCCTGTGTTATATATGTTTTTTTGCATGTAAATGGTCTGCAAAGGCTAAAATCCCAAAGTTCCCTCCAGAGGGAGTTTCTCTCCGACGAAAAAAGGTTTCTAAATTGATTCCCTGATTAAACTGTGAAAGGAGTGAATTCATCTAATATATACATTTATGAATGAAGGGTTTAACGATTGTTGACACGTTTAAATTGCATAAATGTGGTTTTTGCACAGAGGCAGTGGGCCTATAATGGCGCTTTTCCACTGCAGGGCCTCGCTCGGCTTAGTACGGTATGGCTAGGCCTCGTTAGGCCTTGTTAGGCCAGTCTCACTTTATGCTGCGTTTCCATTTAAAGGTGGGGTAGGTAATTTTGGAGAAACCAGCTCGAGTGTGCTAGAATTTGAAAATACACAGCCGGAAAAAATCTGCCACTTCCTTACAGAGCCCCTCCTCCAACACACACGAACGCGCACTCGACCAATGAGGGCACGCGATAAGTTTGTGCACAGATGGAAGGCTGGCAGGCAGGTAGGCCTTCCAGTTATTTTAGCCGGGCCGGCTAAAATGATTGGTCGTGCCTTTTACAGTACTACGGCTTCCACAGATGACATTTTTTTATGGATTTTTTGTCAAAGCACTTAAGATATTCATTGCTATCGGGATGTTAAGAGCATTCCATGGAATATAACAAAAAGTGTATCTCGAGCCGGTTTCTCAAACGTACCTACCCCACCTTTAAGTTTAGGAACTGGGGTAGTAGTAGTAACGCAGTGTAGGCGGAGCCGTGACGTCATCTTCAATGCGAAACACAAAACCAACATCAGCCGTTAGCTGTTAGCCCTCAGAGCTCACAGCTCACAGCTCCTCATATCTGTTCAGAAACTAGACAAAAGTTAAACAAGTACAAACCACAGACTGTCTGTGTCATGGCGAATACAGTCGCTGGTTTATTTATGTCTGTATAGGCCGTTGTTGTGAGTGTGGACGGTCGGAGCCAACACATTCTCACTCCCAACTCGGCCTATGTTGACGTTATGTCAGGGTCCCTGTCGTCACTTTCCAATGCAAGGGGGGCCCGTTTAGCGTTGACTTTCAACTATCAGGGAGTCCCATTGACTTGCATAGAGCTCCCTAAACGTATGTAGTAGACGAGTTGGGATCGCGGAGAAATGCTCTCCGCAGATTCATTCTCACAGCGTTTATCAACCTTTTTCTTACTCAATGTCAAGCCACACTTGTTGTTTTTACTTCTTTATTTTAGTTGAATAATTTCTGACTTTTGTTGCTGTTAGTTAGGGAGAGAGTAGGGGCTCAGAAAACTGAAATCTGTATTGTTTAATCGATTTTTCCTTCTAATTTTGTATTCTTTTCTAAACCACACACTGTTATTTACTCAACAATAAGACACAATTATCCTTGTCTTTATTTATTTGTTTGATTGTATAATGTCGGACTTTTGGAGTCCGTCAGGACCGAGCAGCTCATAGTAGTTGCTTTAGAGAATTTTACACCCGGAAGTAAGTTTCAGAGGCAAATTTTGCAAATATGGCAGTAGCCATCGATCATCTTAAGATAAGATATACTTTATTGATCCCAAGTTGGAAATGTTTTCGTTACAGCCGCATGTGTAACAGTTGTAAATATGCAGTGGTGTTTATTTGTAAATCATTTAGTATAATCACACAAATTCTGTGTTTTATATTTAATAATTCTCTGTTCTTTATTTATTGAATGTTCAATACCTGACAAGGTCGGAGATGAAAAACTTGGGCCGCAGGTTCCTCAACAGTACATTACAAGACATCTATCGATATGTGTGTACCTCCACCATTAAACTGTCATATTCTGCACATTTCTTATACTACATCTTATAAGAGTATAATTCATATGTATAATATCAGTTAAAATAAGTGCTTGAACATAGTTAACATTGCAGGAAAGTTGATTGTCAAGTCCCAAAACAAACCATGCAATATATTAAGTACTTTGTCAGGCTTAATATTTATCTGTAGATACCCCCAATGCTTTTTTCTTATTTAAAAGAAGACCTTAACCTAAAGAATTCTTTAATGTTTAAATAAAGCCTTATTAGTTTGTCTGTTTTGCAAAACCTCCTATTAATATCTTTGGACATCCGGCACTAAACCTTTTTATTGTAGAGATCACTACAGTATCTTCTTGATATTTTCTATTCTATATTTCTATCATTGACCTTCTACTTTCCCCCTATTTTGTATGTACTCTTAATATTTAAATGTTTTGATCAAATATAACATAATTTCAACAAAACAATTCAATAACGTGCTTTAACCAGTAGGCGGTGCGGGTTAAAAAACTGTCAAGTTTACAGTGTTAACACAATAAAATATACTGCTGTTTCCAGTTTAGTTTATGATGGATGTGTTTTGTTATCCACACATATGTTGTTTTTATATTTGTAACACCAAACCGACAGAAAATATGGTCTTAACATGACTCAGTGGTCTAGTTAATAAAAAATATATTATCAAACATAATATTAAAATGAACTCTTATTTTGAAAATACAGCTTCCTGTGTTCGAATGAGCTGCTCCGACCCATGGTCCTGACGGACTGCAAAAGTCCGACATTATACAATCAAACAAATAAATAAACACAAGGATAATTGTGTCTTACTGTTGAGTAAATAACAGTGTGTGGTTTAGAAAAGAATACGGTGTGTGAGCACACACACAAACTCCCAGCCAGGCTGCGGGTGTGTGTGTGTGTTCGGGCTGGGTTTCGCTATGTCTCGCTGTCTCGCAGACAGCCACTGGGCTCACAGGGAGGGGGGGGGCAGGAGCTCCAACAAGCCGTTTAGGACAGAGAGTGAATACACATACTATACAGAGATGCTGTATGAGAAACCAATGCGATTTTGGAAAATTGCACAATATAAATCTATTTTAGTAGACCTCAACAATGGAATTATGATCAGTAGAAATGGCCATGACATGGGACCTTTAATATTTTTTCTTAATTT